TATGTGATCACTATTGATTTGTCTGTTTACAGATTGTATGTTAAGAGTATTTATGCATTTGTAACCTAATCCACAGCAGAGTCCGTCAATAGTACACATACCAACGTTCCTGGAAAATTACTGGTAAATTACCACAAGATCATGTATGAAAAGTCTGTTTAAAAAACTGTTAAATGTATTATGACAATTTTCCAGAATGAAAAGTTGTAAGATAAACATTAAATTGCTGGATTTCTGCTAATTAAAAATTCAGCACTTTTTTATCAAAAAGGTAATTTTGATAATTTTATGAAGTAGATTTTTACTATTTAAAGTGTAAAGTTAACCTATATAATTAAATTGTATGTATATAATCTTCTTGTAGACTTATTTACCATTAGAGTAATCAAAGTATATGTAAAGTTAGAAAGGAGAGACAAACTAGAAAGGTGTCACAAGCATGCATGAGAAAAGAGGCAACACCTGTTGAAACAGTTAAGTATAGACGGACAAGATATATAGTAGAAACGTCTATTTTGGAGGTTGAAACTAGTTTTGAATGTATGTGACAAATGTAGATCTATGTGAAAAACAGCTGAAAAAGACTTGGCTGATTATTGAAGAAAGAAAAGTGTGATACATTTATTCTTATTAGCAGCTAAATAAGCATATAGACTGTTAAATACACATGTAAAAGTGTACATAAGTGGGTGCACAGCAGTCTTTTCAAACTTTGTCTTAGATGAAACGTACAAGATGAATATGCAAAACTGTTAGCCATTGATAAAAGTGCTAGAAAAACTTTGTATCAGCCTTGTCATTAGACTGCAGTCTAAAGATAATTTATCCTGTTTAATAAATCCCTTCTGAGTCCCGAAACAAACAGAATGTGCTGAGAAAAAGGAATCAAATATCAGATGTGAGCGTAGCAGAGCGAGAACTACAGCAGAACCAATGGCATGAATCTGCTATTGATATAATGAAGAGAGTCTGACCTGATCCATGCAGGTCTGAATGCACCACTGCGAGGTGAGGTTTGGCTGGACGGCGTGAGCCAGGGACGCTGCGGTGGTGTTGTCAGGTTTTTTGAAACAGCCTCGGTAGCGCACGTTCCTGTCTGAAAGCACAGATAAATGCAGAACATGCTGATTGACAGGAGGAAAATAATGCAGGAATGAGATTTTGTGCTCAATTCATCGCTGTAAGGTCTGAAATGCTACAGTGAAAGCGTAATTAAGTATAAGACGCTGAAAAAAAACTCAGACCTTTAAAAAAATTTCATACAGTTCAAGGAAACTGGCTGTATGGGTAATGAGTGAAAAGCAAAATAGCCACATTTCACAGAAATAGGAAACTGCGCTTTCTTATACTGTATGAATAAACTCTGCTTTTTTTTACATGACGTGCTTCAGATTTTTTCCTAAACCCTTTTCAGACACAGCTGCACATTTCTTTCAGCAGGTGCTCTTGAATAGAGAGAAATGCTTTTGCTTCTTGCTTTCAAATGGCTTTTGATTTTGAAACTTTGATAGTAGATGAACACAACATAAATATTAGTAATATTTTTATGGCTTTAAAACAAGTATTGATCCATACTCATACTAATATGATATGGTTCTTTGAAAAAGATTCATTATTTTCTGTTAATACCAAATATAAAACATTTGTCTGGTGTAATGTTTTTGTTGAAACTGGAAATTTAAAACACCTGGATTATCTAAATTACTAATTATTTATTATTATTTATTTAAAGTTTCAATGTATATACCAATATATCAATATATAGAACAGGACAATTATCAAATAATTAACATGTAAGACAAAAACTACAAAAAGCTAAAATTAAAAACAGAAAATATTAAAGGTGCAGTAGGAGATTGTCTTCAGAAGCTTTTTTTTGTTGTGCTGGTTGAAAGTCTCTTCACAGTCCAATAGTAATGATGACAGTAAATGATCTAAATGTGTTTATATGTATTTTTATATTCTGGGTAAAAAAAATAAATAAATGCTCATCCAATTAAATAGAGTCGGACCGACATCTCCCATAATTCCGATAAGCAGGTCAGACTGTACGTCAGCAAATGTAGATTCGGACTTCTGCGCATCTGTTCACGCAGATCCGCCATTCACGCATGCCCGTCTGCATAAGCGGCCGCGCGGTCACGAGACAGACCGGGAGAAATAAAATGCTGAATTGAAACTTTTAAAAACCTGAATCAATATTGGAGTTACTTTAGCACGCTGGAGGAAGGACGACACCATGGCTGAAGTATTACTGTTAGAAAGGTAATGTTCTGTTTTAAAACTATTTTAGTCAGGCTGAGCTTATGTTAGATTGTGTTGTTATGAATGACTTATATGCACAGACATGTTGTTCAGCCACTGAAATCTCCAGGTGAACGATTGATGTGATTATTTTCAGTTTCATAAGGTCCTTTTACAGCATCCATAAAGATTTATAGATAGATTTATATTTAGTTTAACAACAAAACATCAGAAAATAGTGCTATTTCGCCCTTACCTGCTTTATTGAGCTGATGTTGTTTTTATATTCACATTGGGTCATTTTTGAACAATGACAGCCTTCCTGCTTACCATGCTACTCTGAATATTCGCTCTGAAATAGCATGTAAGTGTGGCTTAATAATAAATGTAATTCCTGCACGGCGCTGGCACTAACTGGCGAATGACATGAACTAGTGGGTTGTCTGTCTGCTGTTGTGACGCAGTGCGCGGGTTTGCGATTTCATTGGGTGTGGCTTTGAATCACAGTCCCTCCCCGCCATCCAAAGATAATATGCTAAGCAGTTAGCATTTTGGCAGATCACATACTGCACCTTTAACTATTAATAAATAATACAAAAATTATAGTTTTCAACAAATTCAATAAACTTTTCATAAATTAAAAGAAGAAAAAATTATAATTTCAATTAAATTAATTAAATAAGTTAAGATAAAAATGTAAATACAATTTTTACTTATTTATATTTAATATTTTATGTATATTAAATTCATTATGCATTATTTTTAACAAAATAAAATAAAATAAAGTTAAATTAAATTAAAAACCAAGCGTGCACCAAGAGGACATCTATGAATTCATGAATTTTTGAATTATGAATTATGCACTATTTATGAATAAAATAAAATAAATGTAAAAACTAAGCATCCACCAACAGGACATATATAATTTTTTTTTTTTGTTAAAATTTAATGTTTGATGTATATTTATTATGTATTATTTATAAATAAAATCATATAAAGTTCAATTAAATTAAACTTAATTGAATAAAAAATTAAAAACTTATTTACTTACAAACATATTTATTTATTTATTTATTTATATATATTATTTTATTTGTTTATTTATTTCTTTATATATTTATTTAATTATTTATTTAATTATTTAATTATGTTTAATATTTTATGGGAATTATACTTATTATGTATTAATAAATTAAATTAAATTAAATTAAATATTGAGCATCCACCAAGAGGACATTTATGAATTCATACATTTTTTAAAAATTTTTATATTTAGTATTTTATGTATATTATATTTATTATGTATTATTTCTGAATAAAATAAAATAAATTACTAAGCATCCAGCAAGAGGGCTTGTATGAATGACCAATATTTCTTTGCGGAAACTGCAATACTACTTTGATAAATAGAAATTCTAAAAGAGCTACATTTGTTTGTAAAATAACATGGATTTTTCAACCATTAGTGTATAATGGAGTATTTGAATTTGGAGAATTTTTAATTAATTTAAATCACCTTTCTCATCTATCACAACAAATGTGCATTCTCTATAACTATTTTAATGTCTCCACAGCTAATATCCAGTCGGCCTTGATTCAACATAACTGATTCTGCAGCAGAACAAGCCAGACAATAAATGTGAGCAGATGTAGTTTCAGCTTTATCTGGTGTTCGCCGGGTCTTCATGACACTTTGTCACCTCTGCAAAGTAAACAAGTACTCAGAAAGCGAAACCCCTGGGCTTTTGTTTACCTCTCCAAATAAATGAAGAGGCCCCGCAGACCGCAGTTTGCTTTTGCAGGGATCACATGATTGTTTGTGAGGCTGTAAATGAGCCACAGCTGCACCACAACATCAAACCAAACCCTATTAAAACAGACTCAAGTGCAGCGCAGAAACACAGGCCTCTGATCTCCTTGCTAGAACCAAAACTAGACTAAAACAAGAGTCTGGTCACTGATACAGGTATGGAGAAATAGAAAATATGGGCTATGGGATACAAGCTATAAAGCTCTTTTACATTCATATGCAATGACTAAACAAATGTCAATATGGATTTTAAAAATAAAATAGTGGAGATTGTGGAAATTTGAACAAATTAAATTGAATTCCTACATATCTTAAAGTATGATAATGTAATTAAAATGTAATAAATAATTGTAATACTCACTGAACAGTTTCAATATAAACAAAATACACAGGACTGACACTTCAAAACTTTTTTAGAATGCTGTTACATTTTTATGCTATTTTTTGATCATGATTTTTTCCTTTCATCAGTTTCTCTCTCTCTCTTCCCCCATTTTCATTTCTACAGTTGGTTACTATTGGCTCATGCTGCCCAGCTGTTTGCCGTGTCCCCCTTGACAACATCATACTGTCTCCGATTCAGCCGCTGCCAACGTGGCATAAAAGTGGTGACAGGATGCTACCCGCGAGACCCGGGACACTGTGAATTTCTGTGTTGTGTTGTGTGTCTGTGAATCATTTCAGTCCATTCAGTCAGTGTGTTACATTTCGGTATATATATATATATATACACTTTTTTTTGTCTATTCTCCATTTGTCCACCATCAGTGTTATGCACATCTGAGGTTGGAGAGTGCGACAGGTAATAATGTCTCGCAACATACATTGTGCATACGTTAGGTTTGAATATCACTTTTGTTAGACACATTAGGTTAGGGGCGTGCTCTGCCCACTGTACTTTTGTTTTTCTGTTATCTTAGTGTATAGGTTAGGTAGTACGTCAGAGACATGAATATTTTTTTTCCAATAATTGATTTATTTTTCTTTTTGGATAGTTGGGGTAGAAGTTGGGCCAATGGAATAGCTTGTTTTGTTTTATTTATTTCTCTTGCTTGGATGCCGTCTGCGTCTTAACTCTCCAACTCTCCCATCTACCCGTTTAAACATTTTGTGAAGGATGCCAACTGACACAAACAAGGCTCGAACCAGCGACCTTCTTGCTGTGAGGTGATCGTGCTACTCAGGACACCACCGTGTCGCCCTAAGTTTAACTTTTAACTCGTAAATAAAATACAATAAACGGTTAAATTAATTAGTCAAATTAAATAATAATGTCATCCAAGAATAAAATAAAATAAATAAAATAAAATAAGTAAAATACAATAAAATAAAGAAAAGGAAATAAAAGAAAACTTTAAAAATTAAAGAAAAAACATAAATAAATAAAATAAGTAAAATAATAAAAAATAATAAAATAAGCAAAATAAAATAAGTAAAATAAAATAAGTAAACGGGCGATGCAGTGGCGCAGTTGGTAATGCTGTCGCCTCAGCTGGGTCAGTTGGCATTGGGAGTTTGCATGTTCTCCCTGCGTCCCTCCCTTGCTCCGGTTTACCCCACAGTCCAAAGACGTGGTACAGGGGAACTGGGTAGGCTAAATTGTCTGTAGTGTGTGTGTGTGTGTGTGTGTGTGTGTGTGTGTGTGTGTGTGTGTGTGTGTGTGTGTGTGTGTGTGTGTGTGTGTGTGTGTGTGTGTGTGTGTGTGTGTGTGTGTGTGTGTGTGTGTGTGTGTGTGTGTGTGTGTGTGTGTGTGGATGTTTCCCAGAGATAGGTTGCGCCTGTGTAAAAACGTGCTGGATAAGTTGGCAGTTCATTCCGCTGTGGCGACCCCAGATTAAATTAGGGACTAAGCCGAAAAGAAAATGAATGAATGAATGAATGAATGAAAACAAGTAAACTAGAATAAATAAAATAAGTCAAATAAAATAAACAAAAATGAAAGTATCCACCAAATAAAAACCTATTTAGATATTTTTGTTTACAGTTTAAGAATTGAATAAAATCTCCATGAAAAAATTATTATAACCAAGATTAAAAATGAATGAAAACTGTTCAAAAAAGCAAACCAAACTAATAAATATGTAAAGAAACACACAACAAAATTGCTAAATTTGAACTCAAATTAAAGAGAAAACTGAACTAAAATCTAAAGCATTACAAATGTCCCCTTGTGTCTCTTTCACATGATCGTTTTTAGCATTAGATATGAAAGCGAATCATTCAGAGACCACTTTATGGCGTTTCTGTTGCATTCCCTACATCTTAAAACCAACAGCCTGAACGACGCACAAATCCCCCTTAACAAGACATTATTATCTGCTACAATGGATAGCTTTTTCAATTTAGGCCACTAAACATATGGCGTGTGTTTAATAGCTGTGTGTGAGAGTGTTGTGCTGGGCTCAATCCAGTTGGCCTGCGAATCAGAGGGACATTGGGTCAAAACACTGAGGTGCAGCAGCATGTGGAAGAGAGCAGTTTCAAACATATGGCCACATCTGAGGATTACAGACACCTGCAAAAGCAGAGCTCAGGAGAACATTCAGATATGTGTCTTCTGCTGCTGCTGCTGCTGCTGCTGCTGCTGCTGCTGCTGCTGGATGCTTTTATCTACAGCATTATGCAATTTATTTATTTTTTTGTTTAGATTTTTTATTTCATTTTATAACTAAAAAATATGTACAGATAATTTTTTTATGTCATTAAATATATCACAAATAATGTATTTAGACAACAAAAAGTGATAAAAATATTGATAAAATATACAGTGATTTTTGCTTTTATCAAAAGCTTTCTAAAGTTTCTTTTTCATATGTTTTAAAAAATATTCTTATTTATGTTTTTTATTTTAATTTAATTCAGTTTAATTTAATTTAACTTTTATCCAAAGCTTTATAATGTTTTTTAATCATAGATGTATTTTTTTTAATTATTCTTATTTATGTTTATTTTGTTTCATTTTGTTTTAATTTATTTTAATTTAATTTTGCTATTATTCAAAGTTTTATAAAGTTTTTTTATTCAAATATGTACTTTTAAAATTAGTTTTCTTATTTGTGTTTATTTAATTTAATTTAATTTAAATTGTATTTAATTTAGCTTTTATTTAAAACTTTTTTGTAATTAATTGTATTTTTTATTCTTATGTATGTGTATTTAATTTAATTTAGTTTAATTTAATTTAATTTAGCTTTTGTCCAAAGCTTTGAAGTTTTTTTTTATATTTTTTATTCTAATTTATTTTGTTTCATTTATTTAGTTTAAAGCTTTATAAAAAAATTATATATATAAATATATATACACATACATACATACATGCATGCATACATACATACATACATACATACATACATGCATACATACATATGTAACATTTTTTTTTTTTATTCTATTATATTCTTATTTGTGTGTATTTTGTTTTGTTTAATTTTTTTAGTATTATTTCTAAAAATCACAAAGTAAAAGAAAGCAAGATATTTAACTGTTCAACACATGCATTCAAAATGTTTTGGTACAGGATTTCAGAAAGCATTTGTTTGTTTGGTTTAATCCAAAATCATGTTATGTTATACTATTATTTTAGTTTTTTTTTTTGTTTTGTTTTTTTAAATGAAACTCCAAATCTTGTAATAGTTTATATTTATTCATCTGGTAGATGAAATATTCTTTCATTCATGGAGACCGAATTCAATATGTTGTCATAGATTGTTACGTATTAATAGCATTATCAAAAAAGTAGATAAGCAATTAGGTAAGTAAATAAATAATTAAATAAATAAATAAATGTATGAGTAAACAAAATACTGCTTTTATTCTTAGATTAGGCTATGTACTTAAAAAAAATCCACTCATATCAAACCCATAACTTTTATCAAATGTCAGGAACATCTGTTAAAACTGCAGGGTTCAACACGATTCATTTATATTGTCCTAACACAAATCAACTAAGTTAACTTAACAATTTGAAGTGGATTAAACATGAAGCAATAAGATTTTCCTCAAACAATTTCCGGAATTATGCGTTGTAGCTCATTTTAAATAAGTTGTTTGAACAAGCAGAAAAACACAATTTCTGAGTGCACTAAGCTGCATTTAGTGCAGATATTATCCTCCGATATAATGTATTTACTGTTCAATTTATTTTATCTAATTATTCCATCTGTGCCAGACAGCAGCATATTAGTATTTTTATTTTTTATTAGTATATTTATTTAAGGTTGTTTGTATATATATAATATTTTGTATCCATCATGTTTCTGTGATTGTGAGTTGTGTGTTGTTAAACTCACATCTCCTCTGTCCAGGCAGCAGCTCCTCCACCTTGTAGACAGACAGACGGCTCACTCCTCCACAGATGGAGCCCTTCTCACCTTTACAGTCCAAGTTACACTCCTCCTCTTTCATGCGGGCGCTCGTGATGCGGTTTCCACAGTAACACTCGGACCCGTATTCAAGGCCAGCGAACTGGTACCCGCTGCGCAAAAACAAAACATGAAAAAAGCCTTCAGTTGTGGATAAATAACAGGGACATTTATAGTCAAACACTTGTTGTTTTTTAGTAAGTGGCAGTATTAGATTTATCTTAATAAAATGAACGTTTATGCAATGATTACTGATGTTTTTGATGTTTGTTTTTCATAAAATTGCAATTTTTGATTGAAAGGTGTGTAAATGTTTACAAAGTACGAAAAAAAAACTTAAAGGCTTTCTTTGATTTCTTCCCTGAAAAGAAAACACTCTAGTATGTTTCTGTTGATTTCAGAATCCCAACAATTTATAATTATTCTTGTCAGAAATATTTAAACAAGAATCATTTGATGTCACATAAAAAGACTCTGTTCAAGAATCAAAGAGTAGCACCAAAATATGAATCAAATGTCATCTTAAATATTTATGGTTTGCTACTATCCTTCCAACCACAGGGATTTTAGCCATTTAAAACATAATAAATTTATTATGACCGCTTATTAAGGTCTATTTGAGCTCAAATGATGTATGTTGTTTTATCGTTGCATAAATAAATCTGAATGATTATGGAGCATCCTTATATCTGTATGTTGTGTGTCAGAGCAATATTTAACTTCAGAGGAGTTTCGAAAATCAATTATTGGTGGAATAATCTGGATTGTCAACCAAACCAAAACAAAACCCAAAACAACCAAATGAAACAAAGTGAAGTAGAGCAACAAAGTGAAAGGAAAGAAAACAAAACAAAACTAAACTAAAAAAAAAACAAAACAACAAAGGAAAGGAAAGGAAAGGGAAAAAATTAAACAAAACCCAAAACAAAACAACGAAGCAAAGGAAACAAAGCAAAGTAAAACAAAACTCAAAACAACGAAGGAAAGAAAAGGAAAGGTAATGTAAGGAAAAAAAAGAAAACAAAACAAAACAAAGCTCTCGCAAAGCAAAACAAAACAAAAAATCTCAAAACAAATCCCGAAACAGGAAAGGTAAGGAAAAGACAGGAAAGGAAAGGAAAGGAAAGGAAAGGAAAGGAAAGGAAAGGAAAGCAAAGGAAAGGTAAGGAAAAGACAGGAAAGGAAAGGAAAGGAAAGGAAAGGAAGGGAAAGGAAGGGAAAGGAAAGGAAAGGAAAGGAAAGGAAAGGAAAAAACAAATAACAAAACAAAACTCAAGCAAAGCAAAGCAAAAAATAAATAAATAAATAAAAAATTCTCAAATCAAATCCCGAAACAGGAAAGGAAAGTTAAGCAAAAGACAGGAAAGGAAAGGAACTGAAACAAAACAAAACAAAACATCGAAATGAAAAAAAGCAAAGCAAAGCACGAAACAAAACAGCACAAAATAAATAAATAGATAAAAAGTCTATATATTTATTTAGAATTAGAAAGAAATGTTTTCCTTTCTGTTCAGACTCATTCCTACTACATCTAGTAAATCCATGGTAAGTTACAACAGAAAATATACGTTCATTGACCAGAAGCTCTCAAGTCTGCATATACTTTTTAAAGAAGCTGCTAAGAACATCCATGCACTTGGTCACTTCTCTTAAAAAAGCCTTAGATAGCTCCCACCAGACTCCCAGAAAATAGGCTGGTCACAGCAGGGATTGTATTGAAGTCCACCCGGCTCCCTCTGTCTATCCCTGCCTGTGAGCCCAGGAGGTTAACAGCTGGTGATTGGCCAGCTTGCAGAGCCAAACATCTGTCTCGCCATTTCCATACACTGCAGTGCTGGATTATGCCACTTTGTAGTGTCAAGCCTTCTCAGGGTGCCATTGCGGACCACCTGGCCAACCATCTGATTTAACAAAGCTCATGAATACATCTCTGTCTCATCTTTATCAACAACCTGTACAGACCTGTGGTTCTGTGGAGTTACATGGTCATCAGTAATCTGATTATTTACCTTATTTTTAACATGACGATGTTACGGCTAAGGTAACTGTATGAGTTACTTTAAAATAAAATAATATATCAATCAATAAATAAATTAATAAATCATTAAATGAATCAACAAATAAAATAAATAAATAAAATTTATGAATGAAAGATTTTTCATTATAATTTGCAAAAAACTTTGACTTAATTAACATTATTTAGATTTAATTATTAATTAAATCTAGATTTATTATTTAGATTTTATACCTACCTGTTACAAAAATTACAGTTCTATGTTAATTTCTGTGACTGTAGTCTTTTTTTAATAATTTAAAATAGATTCATATTAAATATAAAAACAAAAATAAAATTAATGAACACTAAATATTTTACGAAATAATATAAATGACAATAACACAAATTACTGAAATAAATATATGCAATTATTTCACAATAAGACTGAATTTTTAGATCAAATAAATGCAAAAAGGCTTCTTCTCAGCATCTTAACAAAAATAAAATTTATGAAATCCTTTTAATTCAAATATATTGCTATCTGATGAGTCTGACTATATGCTTTATTAAAGTTAAATTTGAAGATTTTATTTCTCAATGCAGCTATATTATTTTAACATTACACAGCAGAACAAATAAGTAAAACAACCAGAGTCCCATGTCCCTTGCTGATTTTAGAATACTCCTTTCATGTACCCTTTTTACATGTTTTAGTACATTAATTGACTAATGGCAATATCATCACTTCCCTATGTGATGCTATCCAACGTTCCCTGCGGAATTTTACATATTAACACAAAATTCATCTTCTTATGTTTCCATTTATAATTTTGAGTGTTTCAGTTTCTTTTTTTCTTGATGTTTGTAAAAGTGCAGTTAATCATTTATCATGCTTATTTGCAAACAGAAAATCTTGGAAAGAAATTCCTGCTCAAAGCCACTCTAGTGTCGCTGTACTGCTGTGTTTGTGTCTTAAATGTGACAAGAAGTCATGTACAATGTTAATAATGTGTGTGGATATACATGTAGCTTTGATAATGTAATTATAATATGAATCCCCCACATCTTAATAAGGATCTGTTTACTTTGGGTATTAGCTTAGCCAGATTAAGCTAATCAAAAATCGATGTTTACATGGTAAAGTCTTAATCACATTAACCCTTTTACATGTGAGTTTTAAATACTCCAGCTGACCCTCCTGCATGAGTTTTTTTTTATTTTGACCATTACTTAGAAACCATTGCATTCAAAAGCTTCCATGGCAACATGTCAAGATTATCACATAACCCAACAGTCCCAATGGATTGTTGCTAGATCAGACATATGGCCAGAAGTTATGGCCAGAATTATTTATAAAATTTCCCATTTATTGTATTTTTTACCCCGACCCCAGCCCAAATTTAAAAATAATGTATTGTACAAACCTTATTTGGTATGATTTTTGTTGTTGTTGTTGTTATGTGCATTTGAATGTCTGAAGCCTAAAATAAATGTTATTAGTTTGAAGTCATGGATAAATTGTCATTTATGACAAGCACTGCACACCTCTTTCTGTGCCTCAGTGCGCGCCATCAGATTAGAGTTTTAGCAGTTGATGACATGCGCTCTGAACGTTCTAATCACAACGGTGTGATAGTATGCTTTAGGGACCAGCCAAGGTTGATCATGGTGGTGTAATTGTATGCTTCATGGACAAGCTAAGGCTGATCACACCAGTGTGATCATATGCGTGAAAGGGTTAAAATCAGAATATTGTTGTCCGTGTAAACATACTACTGAGAGGTGACTAACGGTTAACTACTGCATTCAATTCCATCCTGACAGCTTTTGTCCTTTGGCCCTCTTGACTTTTTTTCGGAGGTTGCGAAAAGGCACAGTATGATTCCATTCAAGCATGTTGGTGTAGGGCTCAACAGGTATTAGCTTGAGCCCCTTTGCAAATTGTTTCCCTGATCCTCTGCTTGAAACGTGGCATTGGCACTGCCATGGCAACCCAGCCGGGGACATTGACGCTGTTAATCTGCTCTGAATTAATCACTCAGTCTGAGCAGACATGTACCTGCAGACACAGAACACGACAAGATTTTCTCCCCGTCACCTGTCTCTACATGATAATATTGAGCTGGGATGTCAGATCCTATTTAGTCTGAGCAGTCATACAGTATTCAGGAACATTTCTGTTGATGCACTATTACTATATTATTAGATGCATCTGTAGATGCACTATTACTATTACTATAGAAATAAAGGTTTCTTAAATGGCATTGGTGGCTCCACGAAAAGCCTTTAACTTTCATGGAAGATTTCCATTCTGTGCCAAGATCTTCTTAGTAAAAAAAGTTCTTTACATTTATTAATTATTCTTTTTTGCATCCAAAAAAGAGTGTATGCCATTTAAAAATCTACTTTTGAGCTTTTAGGTTTGTTTGATAAAATGCAGCGCTAATCAAATGTAAATACCTTTTAAAGAAATGCATCGTTTCATTCAGAAAGGATTAATTAAATGGTTACAGATAAGACATTTGCAGAGTTACAAAATATCTCACTTTTACAATAAATGCTGCTCTTTTGAACTTAATGAAATTCATGAAAAAAATATATGTTCAAACATTAATAACAATTAATGTTTCTTCAGCACTATCTCAATATATTAGAATGATTTTTGAAGGATAATGAAATACTGAAATACTCGTGAAGACGAATATCACAGGGCTAATTATATTTTACGAAATATAGAAATAAATGCATTGACATGTTTTTATAAAAATAAAAAAAAAAAAAAAAAACTATATATATATATATATATATATATATATATATATAAAAGTTTCCACTGCTGAAAGGGTACCAATGGTAACCTTTTGGTGGGTGTGGTGTACGACAGAAAGTTTCAGGTGACGTCATTCTCGCTCAAGAAAATGTCAAAGTAAAGCTGTACGGACCGTTTATATATCATCATATATCAGCACTTCTCACAAAACAGCGGCTTTATACACATACATACTTGTGTATAAATGTTTATTACAAATTTTTTATGAACATGAGTTGATTATAACTGCAGATCAATGATATAGCCAACTGCAACATCTGCAATTATATGAAATAAATAAATAAATTCAGGTAGCACGGTGGCGCGGTGGATAGCCAAAATCATGTGGTATAGGTGACTTGGGCAAGCTAAAATTGTTCATAGTGTGTGTGAATGAGTGTTAATAGATGTTTCCCAGTGATGGGTTACAGCTAGAAGGGCATCCGCTGCGTAAAACATATGC